GCTGGGGCAAAGTTCTACAGGGTCAGCTTTCCCTGAGGCCCATTCTTAGGGAAGGAAGACTGAGGCCCTGACTTGAAAGGCCTAAGCTCTCTGACCGTAGTATTTCCACCAGCCGCCAGTGGAGCTGGGGAAGGCCGTGTGCCCGACCTTATGAAGAAAGAGGTATATCGCATTCTGGGCCACATCCAGGCCCCACCCTGGCCCTTCCTGCTCAGGTAACTCTACACTGAGGGGCACTTTTCTCTAGGCCAGAGCTCTGCCCCTCTGGAAGAGTGGGTTTTGGTTGGGCAGGACTCCCCTCCTGGGGAGCTGGACGGTGTTTACCCTGCCTCCACTTCCCACCGTCACCAGCATCTCTCAGCTCCTGCTAGTTGCAGGACTTTGTTCGGGGCTAGCAAAGGTACACACCGTGTAAGAAAGAGGGGACAAGGGCTGAGACTAGAATACCTAGAGGAGGGAGAAGCTTGTAAGTCAGAGCCAAAAGGATAGAAAGGAGCCAAGTGGGAGTATGAGAATGGGGGTGGTAACAGTCTTGGTAGAGGGAATAGCATGAGCTTGGCCCTGGGCAGGAAGCACAGGACCCGGTGTGTTGGAAGCTGGCAAGGGACGGGAGAGCTTCTGGTATGAATGTGAGAGGCAGAAGGGACCAGAACAAGCAGGGCCATATGAGAAGTTTAGAACGGCTTTTCAAGTGTGTGAAAACAGTGAGGAGGTTTTAAGTGACTGCATGATAAATTCGGGTCAGGAGTAGAGAGCAGGAGACCTTCTGGAAGGCTGTTTTGTTGGCTTCAGAGTTACCCAGGGTCAGCTGATGCCCCCATCTGATTCTTTGTGGAGAAACAGAAGCCATGGATGGGAACTTGCTGGTTATGTATCACATCTCCCTAATACCTGCAACTGAACTTCTGTCCTCAGTTAAAGATGGCCCTCTAGGGGCCAGCAGGTGGCACAGTGGTTAAAGTGCAGGACTCTCATGTGGTCAACCACAGTACGAATCCTCGACCTGGTGGCTTAAAAATCATGCTGGGGGTGTACTTGTGCATGTGTGCCCAAAGTCCTCAGGGGAGATGGAGTATAAAGGATTGTGGTGTGGGTATCTCACCTAGTGGGTGAGTTCTCACTTTCCCTTTCCATCTCTCTCTCTCTGGTGAGCGTATGTGTTCAATGACAAAGTCCTTTAAAAAAAAGTTCCTCGGTTCTGTCTTGGGCTCACTACCCCTCCGGGGACTTTGTCCATGAAGTTCCCTTTGCATTACTCTTGCATTCCACCTTTCCTGGCAGTTCACAAAGGCCAGGCTGGATTCTGCCTGGAGAGTCTTGGCCCTCCGGTCTCTTCTGGGGAAGGTGGAGGCAGATGGCCTGAATCTGACGTGAGGCAGCAGTACCGTGAGGTCCTGGGAGGGATCAGTGCCTTGTGAATGTCGGCTGTGGTTTTAGGCCCTCCTTCTGGTCCTAGCACCACCCCTTACCGTTCTCCACTAGCCAGTTGTGTGACTTCTGAGCCTCACTATCATCTTCTGTGAAATGAAGACAATGATAGCACCTGCCTCGGAGTTGTGAGGGCACTCCTTGGAGGTGCCTTGGGTCCCCGTCTGGTGGGCGGCACACCAATCCCATCTCAGGCTGGCGTTGCTCTCCAGGCTCTTCAGCTGGGTGCTGCTGAGGTTCCTGAACTGCCTCTTCCTGAGTGTGCAACTCCACAAGGGTCAGATGAAGATGGTCCACAAGGCCGCCCAAGCGGTATGGCCCACCCTCCACTGGGATGGGGTTGGCAGCAGCCCACGAGCACAGGCCAGGCCCAGCCCTTAAGTTGGGACCAGCCCCATCAGCTGGTGGGAAAAATTCACTGCTCTCTGACGACCTTCTCTTCGTGTCTCACGGTCCTGCTCCCATGGGGCTTCCTCTAACGTCTTTTCATCATGGCCTTAACCATCCCGTCAGTGCATTCATTACCTTACAAGTTGTTGAAAGGCTGCTCTTCTTTTGGGAAATGTGCTCAGAGGAAGACCTCTTCAGCCGGTCCCTTCTTCCCTCCCTCCCTCCCTCGAGGGGCCCTGGGTCTGGAGGCTGGGGTTGGCTTGCTGTGTGTTCAGGCCTGGGCAGGTTGGCACTTCCTCTGGCTCTTGAGCAGGGCTCGCCGCTGGTCCTCCTCTCAACCCACAAGTCCCTCTTGGATGGGCTCCTGGTGCCCTTTGTGCTGCTCTCCCAGGGCCTAGGCGTGCTCCGTGTAGCTTGGGACCCCCGCGCCTGCTCCCCTGCCCTCAGGTAAAATCTTCGGCTCCTAAATAGACAATGAGGTCCCAGGCTGGGGTGGGATAATAGGGGGTTTGCTGGCGGCAGCCGCCCAGAGGCCCTTTTCTGGCCTGTCTGCTCCCAGTCTATGTCCACCCATCTGTCGGGGCTCAGAAAGGGGTCAGCTTTAGGTCCTAGGATCATAGCTGGCCTCAGAGCATTCAGGCAAGACACAGGCTGGCCTGGGTAGGCCAGGGCGCTCGCTGGCCTCCCGCCCAGTCCTATCTGGAGTCCCTTCCCTCATCAAGCTCTGCTCTGTACCACACAGAACTCTGCTGAGAAGACTTGGGGGGCTTTTCCTGCCTCCAGAGGCCAACCTCTCCCTGAACAGCCCCGAGGGGAGCCTTGCAAGGGCAGTGGTCCATGCGGTGAGTGCCCCCACCATGGTTCTGTTGGGGACTGGACTGAGGGTACAAGGGTCTGTCTGCTCTGGCCTTGACGCCTGCCCCTCTTCTTCCCATTCAGGCTGTGGAGCAGCTGCTGGTCAGTGGGCAGCCCCTGCTCATTTTCTTGGAGGAGCTCCCTGGGGTCCAGGGGCCACGGCTCTCAGCCTTGGGCCAGGCCTGGCTGGGACTGGTAGCACAGGTGGTTCAGGCAGGCGTTGTCCCAGATGCCATGCTGGTGCCAGTGGCCATCACCTACGACCTGGTTCCAGATGCACCACGTGATGTACAGCATGTGAGACTCTCCTGCCCCTAGGGATGCCAGGTGGACACCAGCTTTAGACAGGAGGCACAACGTTGTGTCCTACAACTTGAGAGCTCCTTAGGGTTGAGGTCCAAGCAGGGAGGGTCGTACAAAGGCCTCATTCTTTCAGTCATTAGTCTGTGGCACCTGCCAGTGTTGTTAGGGTCATCTCCTCATTTTATCCTCAAAAGACCGCACTGGGGAGGGACTGCTCCTGTTTCATGGATGAGAAAGTGGGAGCTTGGAGAGGGCAAGGTCATGTATCAGAACAGGCATAAGATAAAGCTGAGCAGGGGCGACCAGGGAGTGCCTTCGGAGAGCACGATGGGCTTGTGACCCTGCACTGCCCAAGAGCAGCTTCCCAAGCCAGCACACTCAGCCGCTCCCTCCCTGCAGGCCTCGGCCCCCCTGGGGCTATGGACAGGGGCTCTGGCAGTCCTGCAGAGCTTGCGCAGATGCTGGGGCTGCCGTCAGGCCTGCATCCGTGTGCACCTGGCCCAGCCCTTCTCCCTACAGGTATGAAGGCTGGGAGTGTCTGGGGATCTGTCCTGGGGCTTCCAGCACCCTGCCCTTAAGGGTATGGCAGGGGATAGCCTCGCTCCCTCAGATGGGCTGTGTGCAGATTTCCTGATGGGCCAGAGCAGGCCACCTAAGAGCCTTGTCCTGGGCAGGAATATACCATCAATGCCAGAAGTTGCTGGGGCAGCAGGCAGACCCTGGAGCAACTGCTGCAGCCCATTGTGCTGGGCCAAGGGTAGGAACTGGGGAGAGTGTGGAACTTGGGGTCACGGTGGGCAGCCTCCCACTCCCCCGCAGACAAATTCACAGCCTTCCATCACATGCAGATTAGAATGGTGGTTCTTTAAAACAGTGCCAGACACTTGCCTTCCCTGTGGTCTGAGTGTGGGATATGGTGCACAGGCCTGGGAGTGGGTGTGGTGTAGTGCATGAGCCTTTCCATGCCCTGGGCTGGATGGGGAGACACCCTGACTTTTGGTAAATCCCTGAGCTTTTTTAGGTTTGGTCTTTTCATCCTGTGCTTTGTCTCTCCAGTACTGTCATTCCAGACACTGAGAAGGAGCAGGAGTGGACCCCAGCAACCGGGCCCCTCATGGCCCTCAAGGAAGAGGACCAGCTCCTGGTCAGGAGACTGAGCTGGCACGTGCTGCACGGTGAGAGTGAACTAGGTCTGGGGATCTGGGGGTGGCTCCTGAACAGACCTAGCCCCCGCGGGTCAACCAGTCATTAGGGCCCTTGTACCAACTGGTGTGTACACTGCCCTTCCACTGTGGCACTCTTGGGACATCTGAAGAAGAGCGTAAACTTCTCCTTCCCTGTTCTGTGGGAGCAGAGAAGTAAGTGCACACAGACAGCTGCCAGAGCCAAGGATGGGCTGTGCTGAGGGCAGGTGCCTGGGCACAGCCACTTCCCTTAGATCATGCGCGGCCCTGCCTGAGCTCGACATGTACCTTCTCTGTGCTCAAGTTTCCTTAGCTATCCCTGGGGTCAGTGCTAACTGAGTGGAGTACTGCACGTAAGGGTTCACCCTAGGCAGAGCAGCGGGGGCTTTCACAGGATTCTCTGTATTCAGATCTTGTCCGGTGCTCCATGTGTGGGGACTGGGGCCGTGTAGGACCTGTGAGAGCCAGGGAGGCTCTCAGCACCTATGGGCAGATACCAGTTCCCTGGGCTTGCTTTCCCCATCAAGGGGGATTGGACTTGCATGGCTGGGAGTGGCGGCGGGACCAGGCGCTGGGCCTCCACCCTGACCAGCACTCATCTTGGTCCCAGCCAGCGTGGCTAGCTCGGCGGTGATGAGCACGGCCATCATGGCGACGCTGCTGCTCTGCAAGCACCAGAAGGTAGGTGCCGTGTGGTGGGGCCTGGGGCAGGGCCGCGGCCTCCTGCTCAGCTTGCTCTGCCCACCCAGGGCGTGTTCCTGTCGCAGCTGCTGGGAGAGTTCTCCTGGCTAACAGAGGAGACGCTGCTGCGTGGCTTTGACGTGGGCTTCTCCGGGCAGCTGCGGTGCCTGGTGCAGCACACACTGAGCCTGCTACGGGCGCACGTGGCCCTGCTGCGTGTCCACCAGGGGGACTTGCTGGTGGTGCCAAGGCCTGGCCCGGGCCTCACGCACCTGGCCCGCCTGAGCGCAGAGGTGCTGCCCGCCTTCCTAAGCGAGGCTGTGGGTGGTGAGTCCAAGGTCTCGGGGTGGGTGGGATGAGTGTGCTGGGGTGACTGATGGCTCCTTCCTCATGCCAGCCCCTCCTTCCCAGCCTGTGCTGTGCGGGGGCTGCTGGCAGTGAGAGTGCCACCTGAGGGGCCCTGGGAGCTGCAGGGCATAGAGCTGCTGAGCCAGAGCGAGCTGTACCGCCAGATCCTGCTGCTGCTGCACTTGTTGCCACAAGACCTGCTGCTGCTGCAGGTGAGGCCTTTCCCTTTGGTCAGAGGAAGTGGCCCTTTTCCTGCCCGAACCCTACTTGAGACCTGCTGGTAGGTCTGGCCTTTCCCTGCTCTGGCCAGGCCCCTGTTCATGTGGCTCCCCAGAGGCCACACCGGTGTCTCTCTCTCCAGCCCTGCCAGTCTTCCTACTGCTACTGTCAGGAGGTGCTGGACCGTCTGATTCAGTGTGGGCTCCTGGTTGCTGACGAGGTAGGCAGGGTGGCTGGAGACAGCTCCTGCCTGGGTCTTGTTTCATCTGGCCTCCCACACTGAGAGCCAGCTACCCCAGGTTCCCCCTCTGCCCTATGTGTATTGGGATAGGTGGCCTCTGGCCTGGCAGACAGGGAGCCTACCTGGGTTGCACCTCCATCATGCTCTGCCTTTAGATGTGGGCAGGCCACATCGGCCCTGGGCCCAGGTGTGTCTCGTGATGGGACTAGACACGTGGACCTGTTTTTTGCACTCCTCACCCAGTTTGTCAGTCACTCAGCTGTGGCCCTGGAGAGTGGGTGCTCACTTCCTCTCCCCCTGCAAGGTGGCCCAGCAGGCACTGTGGTCTGGTGTGGCTTGGAGCATGCTCTTGGGCTACAGGGTTGCTTTTGTTGGTTTCACCTGTACCCTGCACATACCTGGTCTGGGGGTGTAAGGCTCATTCATGGCCAGCCTCCCAGGGACCAATGGCTCCCATGGCCCCCAGACCTCAAGCTCCCGGCCAGCCTGTGACACAGGGCGACAGCGTTTGAGTGCAAAGCTGCTGTGGAAACCTAGTGGGGACTTTACTGACAGTGACAGTGATGACTTCGAGGAGGCCGAGGGCCGGTACTTCAGGGTATGTTGGGAGAAGCCACCCCAGGAGGGAGTTAGAGGAGAGGCCGTGGGGAGCTGTCCTCAGCCCAGCTCGTCCCCTGCAGCTCAGCCAGCAGTCACGCTGCCCTGATTTCTTCCTCTTCCTCTGCCGCCTGCTCAGCCCACTGCTCAAGACCTTCGCCCAAGCTGCTGCTTTCCTCCACCAGGGACAGCTGCCTGATACAGGTAGGGCCCTCCTTCCTCACAGCCCTCAGGCAGTCTCTGACAGTGCAGGTGCCAGGCCTAGGTCTTCTCTCTCCCAGAGTCTGGCTACACAGAGCAGTTGTTCCAGTTCTTGCAGAGGACCGCCCAGGAGGAAGGTGAGTCCCAAGCAGCCTGTTCATGCTCTGGGAGTCAGGCTTGGGTTTAGTGGGGGCTGCTGCCCCCTACTGGGCAGTGGCAGCCCACTCCAGGAAGGAGGGCCACAGAGCAGAGGGTCTTGGTCCCTCTCAGCCCTGTCTTTGGGCTGTTCCTTCTGTAGGTGGGAGAGGGAAGCCTATGTCCAGTGGCTCCTGCACTCCCACCCTAGAGCCTTCACTTCTCTCTTCCCTCCAGAGTGTCTGGACCTTCAGAGACCTGGGGGTAAGAGGGCCCAGGGTCCCCATTCTCCTGTCCCTTCTCTAACCCTCGGCCCTTGGTAGAAGTGCTCAGTTGTGTCCCCATCTCACAAGCAGGCCCTGATGACACCTCACTCAGACCTCGGAATTCACCCAGTGTCTCCCAGGCATAGATGTGGCCACTGTGGGGTGGTTTTCCTGCCCCTCTTGTTTCCCTGAGCAGCCGGCTCTTCCTACTCAGGTGGAGTACCTGGGTAGTTGTAGAGACGAGGCAGCATCTACTCAAACACAGGCTAGAGGGGCCGGAGGGCTGAGCCCAGGGCCCCAGGGGACATGCTTTGGCTTTGG